CACGGTTTCACAAATTTAACAATTGCCATGACTGTGTATTGCTAGAGTATCATGATTTGTTTTTTTGTAGCATTGTTTTTGTAATGTATTGCAATCCAACAACTTGTGTAGGAATTGTGGGATAGCTATCAGTAATAATAACAGTGAGGTCTGATATACAGTCATCCATAATATATTCAGATATTCTATTCAAAAATATGTAAATAACTGAATTAAGTGCAATAATTTTTCAAAGCAACATTTTGGTGCAATATTTGTTGACCAAATGAAATTAATTTTCTATTAGCTACATGAAAAATATAACATGTTTTATTTTGTGAATGTTAATGAAAGTTGACTTTAGTACTTAACGGGTTAAGACAAACCAAATTTAAGTCTGGATGTTCTATCATCTCATTAGAATGTATAAAGTTGTCAACGTCAACATCAGATTAAGACCAAAACCTTGCTATAACGTTGCTAACACCCTCAGAGATGAGGGCTCCTACGCTTGAGCTTATTTTCAATACTATAAAAACTTTCCGGTACAAGCTATTAAACGTTTCTGGCAAAAGATACAAGTTTTTGATTGGTCAGCAGTCAATTCACAAAGAATATATTGTATTACATTCGGGGGTAAAACTAATGCCGTTTTCCTACCAGTGTATTCGTCTGTTCTTTGCCGCTTTACAGTCACAGCACTCAATGCTAATTGAGCGATATCTTGCTGTTTGGTTATTTCTAATATCTCTTTATCACTAAATAACTGTTTCACATCGCTGTTACACAGCAATGGCCATGAATGTCTGTACGCGCAACTTATATCCCTGAAACAACAACAAAATTAAAAATAATGTGAACACAAGTCATTGAAAATTGGAACAGTCCCTGTCAAATTTTTGAAATGTTCTCTTTCGTCTTATCGTGATATTAACGTGGAGGGGTTGTCGCGAGCGTGTCCTTGAAATTTGAGTCTCAAGTGGCGTATACAACAGATTGTTTATTTACATCAAATTCGAACATGTGTTGCGTGACGACCCCTCCAGTTTAAGACATAGCAAAGAAAAACATAGATTAAAAGTGAAAGCATGTCCAAGTTATCACATTTTAAATAATCAAGATGGCCGCCAGTCGACCATAATTTGATCAAATTGCTAATTGAATTGACATGTACATGTATCCATTTATGACATGTTAAATATCAATTAAAATGATACATTGGTGACAGAGATATAGTAGTATGGCCAAAAATATGGCTGTTATTCGGCCATCTTTGATCTGATTATGAAACAAAGTGACATGTATGATGTATGTGCCAAAATGAAAATGGTACATAAATCTTGGAAATATAGTAGTAAGGCCAAAAAGTCAGATGGCTGTCAATAGGCCATCCTTGATCCGATTTTGAAACAAATTGTCATGGACATGTATCCTAACATTTATAAAGTATATGCCAAATTTGAATGAAAACTGACAAAGCATGTCCAAGATACCACATTTAAAAAAACAAACAAGATGCCTGATAATCGGCCATCTTTGATCCAATTGCAAAAGAAATTATCATGGACATGTATCCTTACATGTATAATCTATGTACTAAGTTTGAATGAAAACTGACAAAGCAAGTCCAAAATACAACATTTTCAAAAAACAAGATGGCTGCCAGTCGGCCATTTTGAATTAAATCGCTAAACCACTGCATGTGCACATGTCCCATGTAAAGTACTAGGCCCATGCAAAGAATGAACAGAATCGGGCGAAAGGATTCTGAAATACGACTCCGGAAGGACGGACGAACATACGCACACACAGATGGTAGGAGGACATGTATCCTAACATGTATAATCTATGTACCAAATTTGAATGAAAACTGACAAAGCATGTTCAAAAAACAACATTTTCAAAAAACAAGATGGCTGCCAGTCGGCCATTTCAAAATGAATCGCTAAACCACTGCATCAAAAGGTCAAAAGGATTCTGAAATATGACTCTGGACGAACGGCCGCACGAACGGCCGCACGAACGGCCGCACGGAGACCGAATTATAAGTCCCCATTGGACTTTAACAGGGACTAATAAAAATGCACAGTCCCTCTTCCATAGAGGAACTGTGAATAATGTATACCCGGTATTCATACTTGTACAACAACAATAAAATCCCAAATGTGCTGTCAATCATGCTCCAATGATGTGTTTGTATATTTACTCTACTGTAAAATTTTCACTGGGTTTAAATTTCGCTGATTTACCATTTCAGGCATATGCAGTGGGTTTTAAATTCACGATTTTATCATTTAGATAATGTGTTCTATACTAAACTTTACATATTCACTGGGTTTTAATTTAGCCCATTTTCTAGTCAGCGAAATAAGCAAAATTAAAACCCAATAAATAATTAACCCCTTTACAGTATTACTAACAGAGATACGTCAATGGCCAAACTAAATCATATAATAATGGTTCAGTATACACTAATGCATTTACTGGTGAGTGTCTTTTTGGAAATGTGCTTCCAATATGGTACTGTGTTCAGCAGGAAAAGATCTAAGCATTTCGCTAATAACAAAATAGCCTAGATTTAAATTACGACAACATACGATGGTCATTGTTTATCATTTCATCTTATTTGCACATACTTTAAAGTGGGAGGGTTTTCACCTGCGCATGTGTGGGAATTAAGTCCCAAGCGACTATAACAACAGATGCTAAGAACGCAAAGGCTCATGGGTAAATGCTTGTTTGTAAACAATGACACGCTATGGCCACCTGCCTAGGTGACGACTCACTAGCTTTAATGTGACATTTTAACTAATAAGAGTTGTTTTATTACAAATTATAATGTAATCCACACACAGAAACAGGGAAATGTTAGAAGGGAATGTGCAATTACCGGTACTACTGATCTGGTGACCACACCACCTTGCATTGCAAGTCACAGAATCAGATAATTGCACAGAATTAAACTTGTCAAATTCATTACCTGAGAAATGTCTTGATATTCTTCTGTTCATGCTTGGGTCCTTTCTCAGAGCACAGCCAGCAAGTCTGTGAATAAAACAAACTACTGATTATAAACTAAGAACGCAAATTGACCATTTGTAGCATCAATATCAGTTTTGTATGAAAATACTAAAAACATTGTATCAGTTAGCAACGTGGCTTGCACATATACCCAAGGTATACACTAAGTATCAAAGCAATCAGACTTGTAGTTTTCAAGAAGTCAAAAAAGCAAAAAGTCGATGCTGAAGACAGACAATCACTCATATGATAAGCTTCACTCGACAAAGTAGACAGTGGAGCTAAAAATGTTGTAAAAATAAAATAAAATATACACCATACAATACATCATATTTTAATCAGTTTGTCGTTTTGAAATTTGTTAGCCAAAAGTCACATTATTATGGCAGTGAAATTTTGTCAGTCTTAGACATATAACAAAGTGAATCAATAGAAAACTGACATGAGCTGATATTGTAATTAGAACATTTCTACAGAAAAACTCCAGAGGGCGATATAACACCTTTTACACGGCGCAAGCAAAAATACTTTTTTGATTTCATTGATAGTTTTACTATAAAAGGATCTATAGTTGAAGTGAGATAAAAAGGCATGTTTTTTAGTATAGACAGCATAAACATTGGTGTCACACCATTTCGAAAAGTAGTCCCTGGGGTTGACAGTTTACCCTTTTACAGCCAAAACAAAGTCAGCTTAGACATTCAGTTGTGAGACATGACAAAACAAACGCTGCCAGTGATAGATTTTGTGAATAAAAGAACAAAATAAACGCAATAAAAGGCACCCGCCACGCGCGTTGGAAATAAATAGAACGCGTTGCGACGAGGAGTCTCACATGCATCTTTCACTCACTCACTCAATATAATTATGCTATTTCCCAACGCACTTATATTTAATACATTTTGTGATCTGACATATCAATTTTATGTTGATGAAGTCATTGAGATTAGATTGAAACCATTAATAGGAGATGGATTTGTAAAAAAATTATGATTTAGTGCTTTTACATGAGAATTGGACATTGGGCAGTCATATTGAATCAAATTACAAAAATAATATTCATGTTGATGTATCTATGGTAAACTGTCTTTGTACAAAATTTAAACAGAAATGTTCATTGCATTCCTGGGAAAGTACATGTAGGTATGGGTATCATGAAAAACAAAATGG